TAAAGTTAAATTTGTCAGAAAAGTGGTCTGAAACATGAATATAACCTTTAAAACTGCTAACTGTGGTGCTCCTGCAGCTAATTGAAGAATGGGTGATCAGCGTCACGATTAACTTAGCGACGACGGATTCAGCATGATTAATAACAAAATATCTCGATCTCGGCTTTCTTTATTTTCATACTGTTTTACTTCACAGGTGTTGGACGTTCTCTTGATCACATGACTTCTTTTGTTGGGTTCGGAGAAGTGTTACTAAAGTATTAAATGATGAAGATTGCTTAGAATGTCACTGATGATTTTTTATAAAGATGATTTCGTTTCCAGTATATCATATTCGCTTGTCGATGCTTATCTATCCAAAGGTTAATTCCCAAAGTAAGACAAGCAGAAAAAATAACCAGCTTGAGAGAGGAGAATAAAATTTGTTATGGCTTGCTGATAAACTTGTATGATTTCCTTTTATTACTATTATCTGTTTACATTAAGACAAAATAATGTCTAACATTGTCCTAATTGCAACTGCCTTTACAACTTCGTTGAAAAAATAAACGAATTAGAATTTCAGCACTCACGTTTCCAATATGGCGTTTCACCTCTTCGGTTTCAGAATCCCTCATTGGATTATCAAACCCACAAAGACCAATTCTGAAAAACCCAAAAATTAAGACATAGCGAGTTTCATGACTTAAAATACTTCTACATCTGCTAATAACAATTTTACTCTCTTTAAAGAAAAGGTAAAATAAATTGTGATGACGATATACGTATTTGAGGAATATATATGTATATTCCTCAAATAGCTCTAATACTCTTAGTTACATTAATTGATAATAGGCGATTAAATCAGCACTATAAACCAATAATGCAAAATAAGCATTACAGTAGAATTGCCATTGTCGGTCCTAGTTGTCAACTTGGTGTCATAACAGATGATGCCTGCGGTAATAGCACTCAAACGTGTTGGGGATATCCTATCTACCAGGTAAAATCCAAACGCTGATGTTAAACTAACCATCAAACATGTAAAATCAATTCAAGGTATGGAGTTGAGTGCTTACACCCACAACGTCTCAACTCCTACTGCCTTTCAGTGTCTGCAGCCAATTGTGGGAAGTTCTTAGAGTTCTTAAAGTAGAAATGAAGCCACCCTAACATTTCTAATATGTGAAACACCCAACCTCCGTCCTTATAAAGTGATATTAAATGGAACTAAATGATTTTAAAGAGAACTTCAAACCCTACCTTAATAGTTATTACCTATTTTTTACATACCCAACCTCCTCCCAACACGGGAAAGCCGAGACAAGTCCAGCTACTGATAGTTGAGATATTCCCAACACATTTGGGTGCTATTACCACAGACATTATCCTTTATGACATCACGTTGACAACTAGGTCCGACAATGGAAATTCTACTGTAATGCTTATATATACAAGGGAATGTTTAAACTTAATTAAAACAATGTAAGTTTAACAGAAATCATACATTTAAAAGTAATTACTTGAACATAAACTTCATTTCAAAATTTTGAAATTATAACAAAGCTTCTCCATAAACAATATTTGCAGTTTGTTTTCCATCTACCAATAAATAAAGATTTTGAGGTGATCCCACCCTTTAACATCCTACATCTCATTGACCATGAGAAAAGAATGGTTGTTTGAGAAACAATCCAACAACTTTTATACTTTGACCTTGAATCCCTTTAGAATATTCAACATTGTCCAAAGCGTCAACCTTACCAACATTGTTTGAGATTGACTCAATAGGCTAGGAGTAATTTACCAACAGGCTTTACAAAATAGAAATAGTGTTAAGTTCAATTTTTATCCCCTTAGGATATTCCTCATAATTCACAGTGTTTACATAAAAATTGGATTGGTTGGATTGGTCCAATAGGCTCTGATGAGTTAGGGTGCAAACAAACACAAATTTCGTCTTTATATTTATTTAAATTCACAGTTAGCAAAGTGGATTTTTCTCCATTAACAATGATGCACAATTCAAGTAACTAACCTATATCCGTCAAACCCATCATCTGATCCGTTTATAGTTAGGACAGGAGTCCTGGCGTAGGCTTTAGCTACTCGACGATATCTCTCCATACAGATAATTTTAGCCCAAATTTCATCATCAATTTGGTCCCACTTGTTTAAGACTTCCTGTATGTGATCCTATAATGGGGTAGAAAAAACCTCGTAATATTTCTCCCAGTTTCGTATCGAGAATCAATGTTTATATGGCTTTAAAGCTATACATTCCTTTTGTTATTGTTTTCATTGATGGTTTAGTGCTATCGTTTTAAACATTAGTATGATTTATATAACGTCGCAAATATTGGTTTAGTTTAACAGCATTATTACTCTACTCCAGTGTTTGTCAAAGTGGGAGCCGCGACCCCCCTGGGAGCCGTAACGCTTTTTTTAGGGAGCAGCCAAAAAATGGGCCGAAAACAAAGATGCTGAATTAATTTTAATTATAGATAAACAATAAGCCGATAAATATTATATTGAATTAATTAAATGCTACAGTATGTCGAAAGAAGAAGTTATTCTTTTTACTACGGCATGTTTTTCAATCACCATGCTAAAGTTATAGGTTGGAGGGCCTCAAGCTTTTTTTATTCATACCAAGGGAGCCTCAGACTAAAAGTCTGGGAACCACTGCTCTATATTATTAGTATATTTTACCGTTACCATTATTGTTATTATTGATTGCAGTTAGACTATGATTTTAAAGTTATTGCTGTTTGACTACAACTTAGCTACAATATATTTGATCTCTTTACTTTTTTGCACTGTTTTACTGAACTTGAAAATACATTGAGGAATAGACATGGTTACTGAAACTTTGCTTCGTCAGTGACTTCAGTTAAAAATAAAATAGTTTAATGTACAATCCTAGAAAACAAAATTTTAGTTTAAAAATTGAAAATATTTTACTTATTATTTATACATATTTATTTATTTTATTAATTATGACATCACTTCAGTAATTCAGTTGTTTTATACAATAGTTATTGTGGAAGAAACAGAAATGTGATAACGCGTATTTCATTGTGATATTAGATATAAAACTTTCTCAATAACTACGATTTTAATAGAATAATATGAAGATGATATTATCTCGTAGTTTAGAAAACTTTCAAGTGTGCAATTTAGGTATATACAAACATTCAACTATCTTGTTACGCAGTCACACACTCTTGATATATATATAATATCTTCTGCCACTAGGGAATGAAATTCAAGATGGACGATAGCGGTAACATCATGATGAAACGTGTCAGCAAATGTAATGTCTTTGTTAAGGAGATTAGCAACGAGGAAACATCTGCATCTTCTACCGTCATAAAGACTAGCGGCCAATTAGAGCAAGAAAAAGCAGTAAAGGTAAAATTGAATTAGTTGAAATATGATCTTTGAAAAATGCCGCAAAAGTAAAATGTTAATAAATGTTACAAAACTAATTTGACTTTATAACTTTCAAGCAGCAAGAAAACAGTTTATGATTCAAGAATTAGTAGTCGCTGGACCAAACAAATTTGAAACTAATTATGTAAGGAAGTACTCCCCAGTTCCTCAGCAGACAGTCTGAATATTTATAACATTAAAAATCAGATTACATGGTGGGCACAGCACAGATAGCTTTATGCCTAACAAAAAAATAAACAAGAATGTCGGGAAGTTTCGAAAAAACACTTGATTTTGTAAACTGCTTAGTTTTGAAACAGCAAATAATAATAAATAGTTCAAGA